CTAGCTAAAGTTTAACGGACTAAACCAAACACGCCCTGGTTACACAGCGAACCGAACAAAAGGAAATTCCCTAGCGGGAAAGTCAGCAAATGCATCGAATTGTGATCAGCTCAGCTGAAGTCGTTGTGGGGGACAAACTGCGCATCACACCCGTAGACAGATTAGACATAAAACAAGTCCGTATTCCGATTCCAGACAGCTGCTGGTGGGCCTGCATGCAGGCCCATCACCGAGCCTTCCCTCTCCATGCAGTCCATTCCATTGCTCGCTCTAGCTAGACCCCGCTGGCTGCGACGACAGGCGCAGGTTGCCAACCGACCACGCCAGATCGATTGCTTGCGTAGCGCTATCTTGGCCGGCCGGCAACTGCGATGGAGAAAGGCAGAAAGCATGCATGGGGGTGACATGATCGGTGATCCTGATCGATCCGTCAATCACAGTTGAGAAGAAGAAGAGAGGAAGAGGATGCATGGCCCCGTGACAGGGGAATTAGGCCTCTTTGGGACTACTCTGCTCCATCTTTTTCAGCTCTGCTCCACAAACTTCACCATAGAACAGCTCCACTGTGGAGTTTCTGGAGCAAGTGGACCTGTTTGACATGCAGTTTAGCTTCAGCTCTGGAAACATGAGGTTTCTATAGGAAAGGTCTACTATGCCCCCGATCGATGTTTGGTGTATGTTCTGTTGTATGCAGAGCATGTGTAATTGAATATTTTTTTACCAATTCAAATATTGTGTAAATATTATAATCTCATTTAATTTATTGGAGAAGTAAAAAACAAATATTTCGGCCAAATAATTCCATACTTTTGTCACGTAAATTTTAAAGCGCTTGATGGATAATCGACAAAGCTAAAGATGCAATTTTACGGTTCATGCGTGCTGTCTAGATAGGATGTTGTGTAGTTTTCAAATCATTTGCTGGAAATACATCAAGGAGCGGCGAGTTGAAAGTGTCACGTGGAGAGCTTCAGGAATCAACACACAAGTGATGCAATTTTCAGGTCATGGTTGCAATTGACATGGTTATTATGCGCAGAGGTAGAATAGCAGGAAAATTTGTAACCATGATTTTCAGTTCCTGACTGAAATCTAAAATCTGCATACATTGACTGTTATATTTGATCTATCAGGGTCAAGGTACAAAGTAAAACAGCATCATCCGTTCTTGTTATCACCCCATACCCATAGGGATCAAGCTGGTGACTAGACAACCGATGTCACTCTGCAAAAATCATTCAGCAAGTTGCAAGTTCTGAAGCTGAAAGACCAGTACAACTACAAACTGTTTCCCATCAGAAGAAGGCATCAAACCTAACTACAGAAAACAACAGAGCTGCTGAGTTTCTCTGAAACTATCTGAACACGAATGAAAAGAGAGCCAATTCTCATGTCGGTGTTTCTGGAGCAGCAGCACTTTTGAATTCTGAAGAGATGAACTGTGAAGGGGTTGTCAGGAGTCCTGCCCTCATACACCTCTTGGGTTTACCATCGGGAACCGCAATTCCTGAACAACTGAATTCACAAGGGAACAAGTAAGAAAATAAGGCAGTTACACAGCTTAGCATGGGTAAACAACTTTTGCAGCAGTTCACTTTCAGTAATATTATTGTCTGACAAGTAAAACAGCTGAAACTTTCAGAAAACCAAGTATTGGCCAAAATTAAATTTAAAGAACAACTTCTGAACTGTAAAATATGAACATATGGAACCTGTAATTTCTATATCTATACCGTTTTAGCATCTGTGGAAAGGACTACAGACCCACTAGGAACTGTAAATGCAAGTATACTACAGACCTGATTTTGTTATCGTTCAACCGTTTCTTCCTATCTACAACATTTTCAGATTAATGCAATATCAACAAAACATGGAATTCTCTTCAAATAAGCATAACTTGATACTTGCATATATAAAATAATAAATACTAAGAAAATGATGCTGAATGCAGCTGCTATTCTACTGATCTATTTGCACCACAAATTAGACCTGCAGAGTTACTGTGAGCTATGCTACACATTATCCAAACTATGGTTTGTACCACATCAGTATGATCTACTGAACCTCTGTCACCATACAACCACTGGAAAATGCAAAGATCACTCACCCTGTGTCCCGATGATGAGGACGATGATGTCCACGGTCTCCTCGTTGCGAGGCAGGTCGACGAGCAGCGGGGTCAGCCGGCCGTAGCGGCCGCCCTGGACGCACATCAGGATGCGGAAGAACAAGAACGCATTGCCCGTGCGGCGCGCCACCTCCCCTCTCAGCTCGAACACGGAGCGGCCTATGAACTGGAACGTCCTGTTCGTAGTCGCCCAGGTCGACGCGGAGGCCGAGGTGGCCCGGCGGCGCCGGGTCGTTCGAGGTGGCGAGGTACCGCCCGTAGACGGCGCTGTGGAGCCCCCACCCTAGGCGCCGGCGAGCTTCCTCGACCCACGGACACGCCGGCAGCAGCTTCATGCGAAGTTGGGGGAGGGAAGACGGAGGGGATTTGGGGGTAAGAAAAGAGAGGATCCAGTTCAGGATCAACGGATCTATCTTCTCCGTCCATCACCTGCCCGGATGTCTTGCCGTGGCGGCCGGAATGAGCGGCGGCGTCGCTAGGGTTTGGGGAGGACGGGCTGGAGCAGAGGAGAGAGGCGACGAGAGTAGAGGAGGATGAGGGCGTCGGGTGGGGGGCGACAGGAGGAAATAGAACGAAACGGTATTTGCGTAACGAGTGGCAATTGCGGGTAATTACCTCCAACTTCACGAGGACATACGAAACGCTGGTCTGTGGAGTACCCTCTGAAGAGCTCCGCGAAAAACATAGAGTTGGACAAAAACTCCATCTTTTTTTGGGAGCAGAGTTTGTGGAGTTAAACCTGTTTGGCAGGAAAGTTTGGAAGCAGAGCTACAAAAGATGAAGCAGAGCAGTCCTAAAAAGACCCTTAGGCACGAGTTTGGGGCGCGCAGGTGATGGCCAGTGGAACAGGAGAAGTGGCCCATCGAGATGTGGTGTGGAGCGCTTGGGACACCTTGCATGTCCATGATCCATGGATCAGGCGATGGAGGAGGGTTTGTTCACAGGTCACAGGTAACGCGAGTCTCGATGCCGACGTGGCACTATGTTTGTTGGTGCTAGTAGTAGCCCAATTGGGTGGATGTCACTGTCACAGTGTCACTGCGGAAAGAGAAAGGATGGGCAGCCTAGTGTCACCGCTTCCATCACCCGGGACGAGAAAATATGGGATGGTGATTTCTTTTTTTTTTGGTCAGCTGCAAGAGATGAGACGTACGTGTACTCCCCGTGGTTGCGTGCGTACGTGTCATGTAACATAAGGTGAACGTTGTTTGTAATAACCAACAAAGATCAGTTGTAAGTAGTTGGTAGTACCTTGTACAGTTGTACGGGGCGAGTCAATGGATGCGTTTCGTCGTATACATACACACGCCGCCGATCGATGGAGAGGTGAGAACGATCGAACACGGGTGTCAGGGTCTGCATCACAGCCACAGACATCCGTCGTGCACTCATGCTTCGACAGTTCGACTGTTCATCAAGACCCAGCACCCGCCGTGTAAGACTGTCAGTGTCAGGGCATGTGCGATCGATCGCAATTCGCAAACAACTGCCGGTCACCCTGGGCCCCGCAGGCCCGCATGCGTATGCAGACTCGGGATGTGCGAAGGATAAGCGTCCCGTTGATTCGGGTTTGTTTGCATATAAGTCATGACTGAAAGTGTTATTGGTTAGTTTGGTGTGCGAGAAAAATAATATTCATTGGTTGATAAGCCATGGCTTATAAGTCAAATACGACCAAACGAATAGGTTAAAGGATGCCAGCCCGTCAAAGTATGTCCAGAAGAAAAAAAAATTGGGTGAGGACCATCCTTGCCAGGAGCCTGTTGGCTTGCTCTTATATGGCTTATAAGCCATAGCTTATTAACCAACAAACATTATTTTTCTCTCACACTAAACCAGCCAATAGTACTTTCAGCCATGACTTATAAGTCAAATCAGCCCAAATGAACAGGGCGTAGAACGTGGTGCGGATTGTTTAGCTGATATGTGGGCGATCGTATCATTCTAACCGCATACATGATAAATCAGATGCTTCATGGTCCACACGTAAGCTGTTTTGATGAAGACCATCCCTACGGAAATTTTTTCTGTCCAGAAGCCCCGGTGCCGCCCAGCAACTCAGGAAGCCAGCTGCAGCCTGCAGGTGGGTTGAATTTCATCGTTCTTCTAGATGCGCACGGCACGGCGCACCAACGGCTTGTCAGTGCGGTGGAGAGAACGCACGGTCATCAGAGGGTCACTATACGCCACCTGGCAGCAGCCACCTAGCAGGTGTGTGCAACCGAGCAGGCAGCTCCTGTCTCGGTCATGCAGAAGAGTCATCGCCGACTTCGCAGACGAACCAAAACTGACACACGTGAGTGAAACGTGGCCCGAACGAAATAATCGAGGCGCAAAATTAGAAGCGGAGTCCTAGGGTCCTTATTCTCCACGCATGGGCCTCGGTTCTGGGAGACGGGCTTGAACAAAATCACGGCTTCATCGACGCTGCTATTAGATCCCCTAAAAAAATCAACGCTGCTGTTAGAAATAGACATCGTTTTTATTTAGAGATAATAGAGAAGTTCTCGGACCTTTTATGGGAAAGGGCATTAGCCCAGAAAGATTACACACCAACACAGATGGCAGCATTGGATCCTCCCCCTTCCACCCCAAAAAAGTATTAATACAAGGACGCACTAACCTCATCGCCATCGCGGTGCTTGGCGCCGTCCTCGTCGCCGACCAAGGCCAGCGGAGGGATCCGCGTCCAAATAACCCCACTCTACGGGTTCTCGTGCTTGCTTGCCATGCTCACTTCCAGCACCACATGGACGACGCCAACCACCGGCACCGCGCTCCCTCCCGCGGCGGTGCTGGCGTGCGTCTCGCCTCCAGGTCGCGGATATGACCTGGCCCCTTGTCGACCCTCCCACGGCAGGTGCAGAGAGCGATGACGATAAGTCCTCCGACGCAGACTACACCACAGACGATAGCAATCGCCACTGGCACATTGATGTTTAAGGACCTCAGTATGTTTCCCATGTCTCATAGGGTAGAAGGAAGGGGGAATTGCAATGCAGAAGCAGGGGTGGATCTGCCACCGGGGCTAGGGGGGGGTTTGAGCCCCCTACCCTGGCCGCACATGTAGACCCCCCTCAGCCCCCATGAAAATATGTAGCAACGGAGATAGGGAAGGAGGGGCTGGAGACCTGAAACACTTGTTTGCAGTCATTTTCAAATCTTGGAGCATTCAGCAAAGGGAAGATTGCCGGCTACAAGCTGTTCGAGGTGATAAGGCAGAGGCCAAAGATAGTTCAGGACACGGCTGATGGGAGGTGCCTTGATGAAGTTCATGGCAACATTGAGTTTGAGGAGGTGGCCTTCATCTATCCTTCCTCCCCTGATGTCATGATTTTTCGCGATTTTTCTCTCTTCTTCCCCGTTGGGAAGACTGGAGCGGTCATTGGTGGCAGTGGCAGTGGGTCTGGAAAGAGCACGATTGTTGCTCTCATTGAGCGGATTTACGATCCTAATCAGGGTGAGCAAATGAACTGTTCACCTTATGTTGTTGTCACTTGTCGGTCTATTTATTTTTTAATAAGTGGTCATGATTGTTGGTGCAGGACAAGTTTTGCTGGATAAAGTGGACATCAAGACGCTGCAATTGAAGTGGCTCAGGGACCAGATTGGTCTGTGAATCAGGAACTTGCACTTTTTGCAACTATAATTCTTGAAAACATTCTTTATGGCAAGCCTGATGCCACAATAGCAGAGGTTGAGGCTGCGACTACTTCAGCCCAATGCCCATATACACTACTACAGAATTGATAATCACCGCTGCCACTTTCACCGCCAGTTTAGAGCGATTTGCTCTAAACCGGCGGTGATACTCATCACCGCTAGTTTGTGTTACGAACCGTTGGTGAAAATAAGGGCGATTAGCACCAACTGTTCGTAACACGAACCGGCGGTGATAACCTATCACTACGCCGGTTTGTGTTATGAATCGTTGGTGTCGATGTTTCGAGTTACTACCGACGAGTAAATTTCTAGTATTGCACGTCTGGAACGGATGGTGTGCTTAGAAGACATGAGGTTTATACTGGTTCGGGTAGAAAGTCCCTACGCCCAGTTCGTCGCTGCTGCTCGTGTTACTAGCCCTGAAAGTTTGTAGTAGGGGTTACAAACGGGCGAGAGAGGGAAGAGATCCTAAGTCTCTGGTGGAAGGAGTGAGTGGGTGCTGAGAGCTCGATCGCTGCTTAGTCGTGCGTTCGTGTCATGCTCTTGTGCGGATTTGGCTCGATCTGTCGATGGGTCGATTGGATCGGGTCCTCAATCGGATCCCTTTCATGGGACGTCCTGCTTTTCCTTTTATAGGCCAATGGAAAGCGCGGGTTACAGTGGAGAAAAAAAAGAAAAACGAGAGAGAGAGAGAAGAAGACCTTCAGGATCGATGGGTCCTTCTTCTCCTTCATGCGGGTCCCACCGATCATGTAGACGTCAATAAGGACAGCTCCATGTCGTGACCCTATCCGTTACTGGCGTCATGCGCAGGCGTCGTCTGCCGGTCATGGCATTCCATCCTGTCCCGGCGGACGTCGTGGCGAACTGACGCGCCTGTCATCGTTCGTACGAGGGTTAGGCAGAACAGCACCGGTACGCCCAACGCTGTTCTTGATGTGAACCCTCAGGTATGGCCACGGGTTACATCGAGGCGTGCCAGTCTCTTCCCTGGTGTCAGAGTTTTGATCCAGGCCCATACGCTTGGACATGGATTCATTGGCGGCGGTATGGGTCCCCATCGGGCGAAACGGAACACGAACCCAAGGGTTCGGACGAGGCGGAGCCCGCCCCAGAGGTCGGACGAAGCGAAGCCCGTGGCTCGGGGTAGGGCGAGGCGGAGCCTGCCCCTAGAGGTCGAGCGAGACGGAGATCGCGATCTTGAGGTCGGGCGAGGCGGAGCCCGCCCCAGAGGTCGAGCGAGGCGGAGCCCACACACCTAGGGGTCGGTTGGTGCTGTAGTCGCGCTCTTGACTGCTTGGATGAATCAATATTGATGACCATTAGCTCCTCCTCTTCGGGTACCTAGTATTGGTCCCTGACAGTTGGTGATGGTCGCTCCATTTTCAACGCCGTTTTGTGTTACGAACCCGCTGTGAAAATCACTTTCACCGACGGTTTGATCGACTTGTGCTGGAACACAATAAAATTCATAACTTTTTCAAACAAAGTCAGATGAGAACAAACTTTATATCAAACTTATAGATGTCGATGAGATCTACAACTTGTAGTTGATGGCTTTTTCATTTCAAATCGTTTACGGTCCTAGAATTCTATTTGAAAATTCAAATTTTTCAAATTGTACAAACAACCTCGGATGAAAAAAATGTTCAAAAGAAAGTGGTAGATGTTGATGTGATATATAACTTTGTAGTTGACAACTGTTTAATTAGAAATCATGTAGGGTCTCTAATTTGTATCTGAAGTTCTAAAATTTTGAAATATAAAATTTTCAAACGACCTTGGATGAAAAAACAAACAAAACCAAAGCTGTAGATCTCAATGAGAACTACAAGTTTGTAATTGATGACTTTTTCATTTGAAATAATTTAATGACCCAAAAGTATGACTGAAGTTTCCACACTTTGAAATTCAAATTGGTCAAATGACCTCGGACAGCGAAATGACTAACATCAAAGTTGTAGAATCCAATTAGAACAACAACTTTGTAGTTGATGACTTTTTCATCTGTAGTCACTTAGTGTCAGATACCATAGAAAGGGGTACCCTAAGCAAGAACCGGAAAAAATTGCTTAGACCTTGTAAATATCGAAGCCAAGAGACAACCACGAGGCCTCGGCCGATTCTCCGATTCGCCCAAGGCCCACGCCGCAAGTCCTCGGACGAGGTACCAACTCTCCGCCTCGCCCGAGGCCTCGGACGAGGTACCGATTCTCCGCCTCGCCCGAGACCCCGCCCGAAAGGCCTCGGACGAGGTACCGATTCTCCGATTCGCTCAAGGTCCCGCGCCACGAGGCCTCGAACGAACTCTCAGTTACCGACTCGCGCGAGGCCGGCTCGACATCGACCCCATCACCGCCGCCTTGACCAATTTCCCTGACAGGATGTCCCATCCAACCAACACGTCCAACCACTCCTGCAACGTCAGTCGCACGTCGGCGCAGTACAGCAGAGTAGCCGACGGGACGGGAGTCACATCGGTGCCATGCAGTCCGGGACAGGATGGGGTAGGGGTTACTGGCCGCCGTGCTCGGCACTGTGCCCACGACTGACACCCATGCGGCACTGTGCTACCTAACCCCACGTGCTCAAGGACAGCGCGACGTGGAGAGTCAAGTCCAGGTCCCTGTAGCTTCAGAATCAACGAACAAGACCAACTGCTCCCTCTGAGCCTCGGCCATTCGCTTCCGGGCTCCTGTAGCCTCGGGACTCGCGACGGTCGGGCCTCTGCATCAACTGGGCCTTGGCACGTCGCTCGTAGAACGCGCCATACCCTGCGTCAGGCTACAGGAGCTCCCACATCGCGCACAGGGCCGAGCTCCTGTGTCCTCGGAGTCAGCACACCCGTGCCATCGCATCAACCCAGCCTCGGCACTCCGCGCCGATCAAACATACAGCGACCAGCACGCCTCCAACAGAAGAAGGTACGCCTGCCACCATAGGAGCTCCCACGTCGCACAAGACCAGGCATGATCGGCGCGTCGCTCCAGAGTACCAAGGACAGGACCGCTCCATCGACCATACCGCCACAGTAACAAGCTGCAGGGCTCGGACATACCGCCTCCGCTCACAAAACGCCATGTAGCAAACACATGTATCGCCCCTGTCCCCCCCTTCAACTATAAAAGGGAGTGACCGGGGCCGCCCCTAGGGAGGGGCACACACCCAACACACTCACGGAGACATCGCTCAGATAGACACACACGCAAGCAACGAGCAACACTCCGTAATACGCATGCTCCCTCACTGCAAGAGATCAACATCTCAAGCAACCCACGCCGCTCTACGCAGAGACCTAGGACTAACTCCCTCTCTCGCCCTGCTTGTAAACCCCTACTACGAGCACCTCGGTGCAAAGAATACAAGATCACACTCCCAGACTGGACGTAGGGCACCTATTGCCTGAACCAGTATAAACCTTGTGTCTCTTTGCATCGCCATCCGGGATAGGGACACGTAGTACATTTTCACTCGTTGGTTGAGGACCTACCGGTCCAAAACACCGATAGCTGGCGCGCCACGTAGGGGTCATACTGCGTGTTAGCTTAATCGTCCCAACAAGTCCCGGATGGCAGACCCCGTACGACCACTGCGTCTCGGCACGATGATCTGGTTTGGGAGCCTAGAGTTCATGTCTCTAGGATACGAGTACGACCTAGTACTCCTCCCATCCAGAGCCCCGTTGGCCGACGATGGCATCTCGCACCAGCAGCCCAGGCGCAGGCGGCGCCTGGGCCGCCGCTCTCGTCGCGCTCGCCAGGCACGACGCGAGCGGAACCACCCCGACACCCTGCGAGCTCAGGGCGACGCACCGCGCTCCGCCGATATCCCACACCCGACTGTTGGTACAGAGTCCCTAGTTGGGGACCTATCCAGCTTAAGCCTAGGCAAGGGAAAGACGCCGGTGGTGTGCAGCAACGCCTCGTCATCAAGCTCTGCCCCGCCACCTCCTGAGGCATTGACTCCGGCGGAGCAGAACCCGGCGATGGCACCATCCCCCTACCCCTTCGGGTTGAACAATGCCACCGCCGCCTACGCTTCCGCTCACGCGGAGCCCTCAGGACGCCACCAACGTTTCGCCCTCGACCTCTTCACCACAACCTCGACCCACACCCACGCTGACTCCTCGGAGGAGGACATGGCGTGGGCCGGAGCGGACTTCTTCGGGTTTCACGACCCTGAAGCCATGCGTCGCTTCATGGCCGTGAGCGACTACTGCTTTGGCTACTCCGACTCCGATGACGAAGGCACTTATGACCCCACTCGTGAGTGCTTCGTCGTCGAGCTCAGGATGCCGAGAGCGGGCAATGAAGGCGAAGGGGTAGGCAATCGCTCCTCGCCAGCGAGGGGGCAGGCAACGCCACACCTCCACGCGTCGAACCCCCAACAGCGCGGAACGAGAACCCCGCCCACGAGGAACTTCAAGGCCTTGACTTGGAGCAGTTCCGTGAGCTTCAGGCCAAGGTCGAACAAGACTGACTCCTTCTGCAGCAGCTCCGAGACACTCTCGAGCGAGAGCAGCGGGGTCATAGTGATGGCAGAGCAGCCCAGCGGAGGGCTCATGATGTCTACCACCGCATCAACAACGATGAAGGGTGCGAGCAGCCCCCTATCTTCAATCGCGCTAGCCAGAACATTGCGGCAGCGGCGATGCTACTCCGAACGATGCCCGAGCCATCTACCTCGGAGGGGCGATGGGTCCACGGCGAACTCCGAGACCTTCTCGAGACCACCGCGGTACAGTAGGCCGAAAGCTCCGTGTCTCGACGGTGCGGGGACACCTCAAAACGGCCCACGGCGCCACCTCGACAAGATAGAGACCCCTCGGTGCACGACCACCTCAAGGCCCCCTCGGTGCACGACCGCCTTGGGGCCCCCTCGGTGCACGACCGCCTCAGTGACCGACGCGAGGCGCAAGGCGACCACGATGTGGTCAGCAGGTGACGGCGCCACGAC